AAAAAAAAAAAAAAAAAAAAAAAAAAAAAAAAAAAAAAAAAAAAACATCAGAAGCGCTGGTTATCAACAATTATTGTTGATGAAAGGGGCCAGAATTCCGTGGCCAATGAGGGATACCTCTTCTCGTCCTCAGAGGGTTCTTTCTTCTTCTGAGGTAAGAGTTCCTGCTCCGTATCAACTGCCATGGCCGAGTAACTTGGGAAGAAAGCTGAAAACGGAAAAATAATATATACTAAATATAATTAAGGCAGAAAAGCAGAAGTAATAGTGAACATCAATGGCGGATGGGAACTCAAGAAAACAGCGAACTCTAGCCTTTAAGCCGAAGAATGAGAATTCATAGTAGAAATTCAATCAACAATTCACATCTTAGTTTCATCAGAGAATTAGCCAAAAGAACAAACAAAAACTTCCAGTGAGACTGATCTCAGGAACTCAACTCAACTCAACACAAGAAATGTTGACTGAGGTAAAAGGAAAAAGATTCGGGGTCGGAGAAGAATCAAACGTGAGAATGACCTGAAAAGTAAGGGAAGGAGATGAATTTGAAGCTCGCAGAGCTAATGGTCGGGAATCAAAGAACAGTTGAACTTGAACCTCGTTCGTTCTTCGTTGATCTCGTCCCAAACATCAGTCCGGCCTGGTCTGTATGTGGAATTGGAAACTCGTGCAGACGGCGTGTCCAACCAAACTTGAGAGCTGGGCCTGGTCCTGGGCTGAATTGGGCCCATCAAATTGGACCACTTGCAGTCATTTTTACTTGTAAATTAAAGAATTTAATTTAAATGCTCTTCAAAACCAGTTAGAGTTATCGATCTAAATCTTAAAATTAAAAATAATTAAAGCACATTTCAAATTCAAATATAATTTTTTTTTTCTTGTGAAAAAACTCAAATTTTATAAAGAAAGGAATTTTTGGATTAAATAAATAAAATAAATTTTTGGTAATTAAAAAAAAAACTTTTGAACTAATTTGAATATTCAAGTTGATGAAGTTGGTGACGGGAACAACTCCAATAAATTCACACCCTAATCCAACCCAACCCAACCCAACACTCTATTTTTGGTTTGGTTGTCGAGTTGTTTTTTTTAAAGTATTATTTATCCATAATTCATGTTACATTCATTACTAAAATTTCATAAATCTCAAATATAAAACATTTATAAATTAAAACACACGAGTAATCTCGGTTATAAACATTAAATATTTATTTTGAGATGGGCAAAAAAATATTAACCCAATGTATATGGCTGAAATCAAACCAATTTGGAGGTTGAGTTGGTTTGTTTGTGCAAATTAGCACAACAACTAATTGAGTAGGATAACAACCATGCCACCATGAATAGCATCAATAGGATCTTGAAGTAGTTGATGTTTGTTGATAAATTTTTAAAAATTTAATATTTTTCAATTTCATCCAAATATCTACCAAGTAATTATGAATTTATAATAAAGTTGATTAAATATCCATCTAAACTATTTTAATTGTTCATACATATAGTTCAACAAATAGATTTGGTATTCAAACCCCTCTTTTAATCTCGGCTAAACTTAAAATCAAATTAATTAATATTAAAAAAGAAGCTTTCAATCACGCAACTAATCTACTTTTTAAACGACATCATGACAAATGACTATTAGCTCAATATAGTGTACTAGAAAATTAAGTATAAAGTATTCATTCATTCAATCATTTCGAGTTCATGAGTTCCTCACTCTAACATATGACATCACATTTCTAACTTTCCGCTGCCCTTTAATTCAATCTCTCAATAATATAGAATATTAAACTATAAACTTTTAGATAATAATTAGTGTGGGGGTATTTTAGAAAATAAAAGTTAAATAGTTTTGTAATTTTACTAAAATAAGAGGCCACAATTATAGAAGGAAAAAGAAAAGGGAAAATGAGAGAGGAGGAAGGGAATTGAGCGGAAGGTGGGCGTGGTGCTTGTGCTGCGTTGGTTCATGTACACATCTAACTAACCCAAAACGTGCCACCCTTCGACGGGCAGTGGGCGCGCGCCTTGTCCACGTGCCTACACATGTCTCCACCACCACTCCCTACCCTTTCACCTTATTATTAGGTCTATGTTTTAGGTGAATTTCAGAAAATTTTCAAAAAAAAGGGAAGGAAATAAAGTTTAATATTTTAAAATAGTAGGGAGAATTAAAATATAGTACAAATAATAATAATATTATTAGTTTTGCATATTTAAGATAATATTATCAGGAAATTGTAAAAGATTATGAAAAAGAAAAAAGAAAATCTAACAAAGGAAATAGCAGGCCACGTGCTGAGTCATCCCTTTCGCTGCTTTATATTTACATTATTTTGAACTATATTGATTTTATTATTATTATTATTATTATTATTATTATTATTATTATCATCATTATTATTATTGGTGCTTTAAATTTGCGTGTAGGGTGAGAAAAATATTTAATTTCACATTAATATCATTTATTTTTTTGACTCCCCATTCATGTGGATTCATACCAATAATGTTAATCCGGACAAAACATAAATTGGAGCAATAATTTCTTTAAATAAGTTTGAGGTTTTTTTATCCGCCCAAAATATATTTTCTTTAAAAAAAACATTTATGTTATTTTTTAAATTTTATATATTCATTTCTTAAATAAATTAATTGACTAAATTTTAATTTTGTCAAGTAGGATATTGTCTGTTTTGACCTATAGTGGTCAATTTTACAGTTTTAAGTGAGATTTCACATAAATCACTGAATTAATCCACACGTAAAAGGATTTTAAAATTCTTGAACCATTTAATAGACATAAAATTAAATTTTATATCTAGTACTTCAGTTAAGTTTGAATTTGGTACCGAAATCAATGGGAAATGTTGAATAGAAACCCTCACGTGGCCTCCACTTACCATAATAATAATAATAATAATAATAATAATAATAATAATAATTTCCATGATTTATAAAACTCAATATATTATTCTAGTTTGAAATGTTTAATTAATTTATTTTTTCATAAATTTGAATTAAAAAAGAAAAGAGAAAAAAAAGAAGGGACTAAATTGAAAAATATATAAAAAGTGGAGGACTGAACAGAAAAAGAAGGAGAAAGAAAGAAAGAAAGAGAAGACAGCAAAGCAGTTTCTCGGGGAAAGCAAAAGGCAAAGCCATCCCACACTCTCTTCCCTTCCACACCAAATATACGTGTCATCCCTTTTTATTTATTATTATTATTATTTTTAGTTTCATAAAAATCGATTGTGTTACCATAAATAATTAAAATAAAAATCGAAAAGCAAAAGCAATATATTCATAAAAAGCAAGAAATAGCGAAAAGGGTAAAAGAGGAAGAAAGTGAGAAAATTTATTAGAAGGATGGGCTGGGGACAAATTGGAATCCAAAGAAAGTTTTACCAATTTGCCCTTTTACAAAACAAATTCTTCCCATTCCCATTCCATAAAACATTGAATATATTATAAGTATGGGGTTTTGAGCCCCAAATCAAAAGAACAAAATAAAACTCCCACTTAAACACAACTTTATTTAACCTTAACCTTAATCTTAATCTTAATCTTGGTCTAATCCCATTCTAAACCCCACAAAATCAAAATAATCCACTTTGTTCTCCTTCTTCTCTCTACTCTTTTCCTATTTTAATTAAACAAAAACTCTCTCTATTCCTATAATAATAATAATAACCCATTAATATAATCTAACAAACCTTCATTAATTTTCTCTTAATTATCCTTTTAATCTTATCTGCTTCTTCTCTACCCCTAAAAATCACACACCAGTTAGTAACTAAATCTCTACTCGATCCTCTATGGCTTCTTTAGTAACTCCACTCTTGTGGAAGCCGCCCTATCTCCTGGTTTACTCCGGCCACCGCTGCCCGGAGATTCATCGCCTTCTGCTGTGCCAACAAGCTCTCACTCCGCCCTCTACCAGATATATCTGTGGTCAATCGAAGAACACACAACCAACTCTAAGCAAAAATGCCGAAATCAAATGATGGGGTTTTCAGAAATGAGGATTTTATGAACGGTTCATACCGTTCTTCCCTGGGTTGAACACTGATGGGGAACGAGATTGGAGCTGTTGGGGCTGAGTCCGTTGAACGTACATGTCGTCTAGGTTTAGATTCAGCGCCTGCATCACTCTAGCAGGAACTAGCACAGTCGAACAAGCTGTTTCAAGATGAAATTATCCGTTTGTTAGATGAGATTTTGAGGTGAATTTGAGATTCTATGTGGAAGAAATTTGATACAGACCTGGCTTCTTTCGGGTTTCAGAGACGGCGCCGATTTGTCGTGGCAAGAATACACCGGTGCCGGCGCATTCCCTCTTCCCGCCGGGAACCCCGAGAAACACGGCCCTCATACCGGAGCCATTCGGTGACGGATTTACAGAGTGCTTCCGAGGAGGAGGAGGAGCCCAAGGGGGTTGGGACGTTAAACCAACGGCAGAGCGACAGTTTCTTCCATCGAAGAACTCGCTGTTTCTTCCTCTGTTTTGCGGCACTTGAGACTGCGGGTGTCTAACAGAGCCTGTTACCAGTCCGACACGAGCCGCCGAGTTCATTTGCTCGATGAGTTGTTGTCGTTTCAGATGTAAAAACTGTACACAAAAACAATTTCTCGTAAGAGACAAAACAGAGACCAAGCTCAAGAAATGAAAACCGCTACTAATTTAACATACTTGGGAAGCTTGTAGTTGCTGGTAAACGCCGGCATCGTTGTCGCGGTTTTTGAGCGGAACAGTGACCGGAGAGGGCTTTCTAGGGGGAACAGAATGTCCACGATTGTTAACGAAATTGTAAGCCTCTTCATTCATACGCATCTTCGATACTTCACCGGCGGCGGCGTAGAGTAGATCCAGAGTGAGCTGTGGATGAGAGCCTACCGAATGGGCATTTGGGCTTCCCCTGCTAGAGCTCTGTTTGCAGCCACACCCATTTCCTACAGTACACAGCGTTGACTGAGGAGAACCAGAGGAGCGCCAACCCTGTTTGAAAAAAGATTAAAAAAGATGAACAACCCCAAACCAGAAATGAAAAAAATGAAGAAACCAAACATACTGTTCATTTCATACATGAGATTTTTCGAGTCCAAACCCATCTTTCAGAGTGGAGCGTGCCATTTGAGTCATCAACCCAGCAATGTATTCGTCTTCATCACTCTCTGTTTCGCTGGAACCAATCAGAGATTCAACCGGCGAACCAAGATCGGAAGAAACCCCAAAAGGCCCAAATCCAAGAGAATACTCAAATGGGTGCAACCCAGCTCCAGCTCCATCTCTTCTCTTCTTAGCATCATTACCCACACACTTCTCCTCCAAGAACAAGTCGTCATCGTTAAGAAACTTGGGAGGAAGCCAAAACTCGCCATCATCCAAACTCTCAGCCATTTCGAAAAAGCTGAAAAAAGCCCCAAAAGAACTAAAGCAACCAACGATTAGTACCCCCAGAAGAAGAGAGAGAAACAGAGTATTATGCAGAGATGGGGGGAGGGGGGTCTGTTTTTTAAGCCGATTGGTTGAGGCTTAAGAAGAAGAAGAGAATGAGTAGGGTTTGAAGGAAGTGAAAAAGGGGATGCAGTCAAATCAGAAGGAAAAAGAAAGAAAAGATTGAAAACAGAGGAAATGGGGTCAAGGGTTTAAGCGCACAGTGAGAGAAACAGTATAAGAAGGGTGAAGGGAAGAAGAATAAACCATCAACAAAAAGCCAGAAACCAGAATGAAAATAAAATACAGAGAGAAACGAAGAAGGAAGAAGAAGAAGAAGAGACTGAAAGGAAAGCCTCGGAGTACGTTTTTTAAAAAAGCAGAGGAAGTGAAAAAGTTTATAAATAAAAGTGGGAGAGGTTGAGAGTCACGCGCGTGTTTTGGAGCGTGGAGAATACGCGCATGCATAAGTGGCTGGGCAAGTTGTGGTCCATTTGGAAGGAGTTTGTGGGGACCACTTGGCAAATGGAAGCCACTCGCTCCCACCATGTGACTAGGACCCATGTTTTTTTTTTTTTTTCCTAATTTGTTTACGAAAATAGTAATTAATTAATGATTAATTTTTGTTTAATATTTTATTTAAACGGGGAAATCGCAGTGGGCCAATGGGCCTCTCTCACTTGTTCCGTTTTCCGTAGAAACCAAAACCGCATTTTAAGTCAGCGACTTCTACATTAGCAATAATATATATTTATAATTTTAAAAATAATTATGGATTAAGTAAGATTTTAGTGTGTTTGTGTTCTAAGTCAAGTATTGACATATTCCACTCGTTCTTTTTTTTTTCTTGAGTTTCACGCTCTCTTCTCTTAGTCAACCTTGTCGAATAGAAGGTCAAGCTTCATAAAGAAGTGTTATTGTCTTAAGATATTCGATCAACAAGGTAATCTAAATCACTCTACAAGCAAGATCGATTATACCTAGCTTGAATGATTCTATATTTCGATCTAAACTACATAGAATTGCAAATGAAACATAAAAACAATTATCCCTCGTGATAAATAATCATTCGAAGTGAAAATAAAATTTAGATTACTTTGTTGATCAAATATCTCAAGGCAAGAACCCTTGTTTGAGATTCGAATCACTTGACATGATCACGTTAAGCTTGAATGATTCTACATGTAACCTAAATTACACATAATTGTAAAGAAACTTAGTCATTGGCTAAAAGAAAGCACAAATATTTTTTTACTACGTCTACCTATGTCTATTTTACAAAGATAACATATATGACTTTATATAACGTCAAAATGAAAACTAACTTTCCTGAAACATTCTAAGAGTTGTAACTATATTTCATGAGTATAATTAGTCACGAGGTATACTTTAGGATTATAATTAACTATTATGTAAATAAGCCTTAAAATATATTAAATAAACACCCTAGCTCAAAATTATGATCCACCCAAAATTTATAACAATGAAATTCGATTCTTCTTCAACGTGGCATGAGTTTGAAACATCTTTTGACAATTTTGACAACCTTTTCTTCAAATCTTTCTCGAAGTTTATATTACATGATTGATGTATTGGTTCATATCACATAAGGATTCTCATCTGAATCGTCTTCGTCTTAATTTCACTTTTGTTTTCTCAGTAATACACTTGACATTTACGTGAATCAAAAGATAATTATATTGAACTGGACCGGACCAAAATCAAAAAGACCGAGAGCATTTTGCACACATTCCTGACACGAAGTAAAACATGAAACTTGGACTTGTACGAAATTTCTTATATTTTGTGTTTGTTCTAATGGTCAAATTTCACCCCTAACAAAATAAATCTTTATAAAGAAAAAATTGAATTAAAAAGGACAAGATATTTAAGGTTTTAGGGTAGGAGTAGAATGACGTATTTGCCCCCGCATAGTGTGTGATATTTCTGTCGGAGTGATAAGGACGTGATAAAGCAATGAACTGCCCGAAGATTTGCGTGCAGTAGAAGATATTTCAGCCGTCCCCATTTGCCCCCATTTTTACCTTTTTACCCTTTTATATTTTTATTATTTTCGTTTTTAAATAGAGGTTGGTAATTTATTGAAAATAATTTACCAAAATATTTAGCAATAAAGTTGGTTACTGAAATTGTGTTTGATAATTTAGTATTAATAATTCAAATAATTATTTAGTGATAATAATTCAAATAATTATTTTCCTTTTTCGTTTTTTTAAAATTAATTTTCACATAATTATACCAAAAAGTAATGCTAAGGTGGCTGTTTCCATAATATATCCCTTGAAAAAAACGCCTCTTTCTTAACTCCTTTTCAAATTCTAAATACAATAATTAAAATAACGCACATCAAATTTCAATGAATTTAACGTTAAAAAAAATTACATAGAATTATATCATTCAAATGTAGGATGATTTTAAATTAAAAAAAAAAACGAAAGAAAAAAAAGCATGTTATGATATGTTTTGGATCTCTTTACGACATGAGATTTGTTGTTGGAAGATTCTCGATGACATAGTCTCGACTCGTACATATCTAAATGAAAATGGAGCACATATGAATTATAGGGCTCGTAATTCTCATGTAAAAAAAATTAGGTTCGATCTCGAAACTTGAAAGGGAAACTAGTCAAACATGTTTTGTCATTTCAAATAAAATTTTAAAATGGACGATATTTACGTAAAAATTACTCTAAAATGTTTTTATATTTTTTTTTTTTAATATATGAGACAAAATTGATAAAATTTCTCGTAAAAGGGTTTGACAGCCACGTAGGACATGCATATTTATGAATATCATGAATAAATGATGAATATTAGAACACGTGGCAGAAGTACTCGGCATTCTGTTGAATATTTAATTATTTCTGCTCCAATTTAAATATTTTCAACTTATTTTGAAAAATAAATAATTACTTTTTCAACTTTTCCAACTTTACCCCGCCTCGGCCAACGCCCTGTAATTTGCCAGCGACGAATTTCGCCTGTCTTCCCATATCACTGTCTGCTTTTCCACGTCAGCCCAAAAAACAGACTTTTAAATTTTAAATTTTAAATAAATGTTGACTTCATTATTAAAAAAAAAAGAAACAAAATCTCAAAGTCGGGGAAAACGGCCGGTGTGGAACGGCGAGATTCAACGGCTCCGTCGTGGACACCAATACTAGTCCATATACTAAATTTGATTTATCGATTTAACGTCCGGGAATTAAATAATTACAGCCATTATTTTTTTTTTTTTTTTCTAATATTCGGAATTAAAAATTCAAAATATGCAGGTGACGTGGCGAGGACGTGGGAACCAGGGGGGCAAAGGTCGTATTCGTTTGGATTTGTTCGGCACCGCTATTTCGGCGCGTGAGGACAGTGAGAAGGTGAAAGTGGGTCCGACTGGTCGGAACGGTGCTCTCTGATTTTCTGCGTGATTCTGTAGTCTGTCCCCATCGGACCAGATATTTCTAAATAAAAAAATTAAAAAAATAAAAAGAAATTATCATAATTAATAATTAATAATATAACTAAATTAATAAAAATAATCGTATTAAAAATATAAAATTTAAAATATTTTGAACTTTTTAATGAAAGGTATTTTATTTTTAAAAGTTAAATAAAATATTTTTAAAACTTAAGAATAATTTTGATATTTTTGAAATATTTTTAGAAGTTTAAAATTATAATTATAAAATCAGTATATTTTTGTCATTTAAATGTCATCTAAAGATATTCAACCTTAATTTATTATTTATATTTTTATAAGCTTAAAATGATTTATCTTTCGGTTGGTTAAATAAATAAATATATTATTAGTCAATTATTAGTATTTTTCATATTTATGATAGAATTTTAAAAAAGTCAACATTATATATATAAATGAAAATAGATGAAGAGTCAACTTGGTTGAAGAAATGCTGGGAGTTGGGAATAAAATATAATTTGTTCTTAAAAATTGGGAAATTAAGGCCTAAAGTTTAGACTTACAAAAAAAAAAGGGTTTTAATTTAATTATTAATTTAATATAATTAAATGAAATGAAAATGGATTAGGTTTAGGGTTTAGGGTTTTTGAGGTGGGGGAGGAATCGCCGCCGTCATTGAGAAAACAGGGCAAAATCTTTAGAAACAGAGGATGCCGGCGCCGACATAGAGAAGAGAGCATGCAATTGCAAATATATGTTTTTTTTCTTGTTTTTTAAAATTTAAATTAAAATAGTTTTTTTTTTTTTTTTTTTTTTTTGTAATTAATGTCTGTTTGATTTTTGAGATGTTGAAAATAAATCTAAGGAAAAACATTAATGAGGAGCATACCAACAACGTGCCTCCCATTTATTCTTCTTCCACTCACTCTCTCCCTTTTTTTTTTTTTTTTTCCTTTTCATTTATTGAAAAATAAAAATAAAATAAATGGACTCATATGGAGATGGTGAGGCCATGATTATGGGTAGCATGTTTGAATGATAAGGGGGTGAGACAATTATATAAAATCATATTAATCCTATCTATCATTATAAATCTTTTTTTTTTTCTTTTTCAAATTTATTTACTTTTATGTTTATATATCGGTTAATTTTTGTAAAAATTAATAAACACAAAATTAGAAGTTTGATGGTGTATTGAATCTATTAAATATTAAATTAAATTAAATTAAATATTCCTACCATATTTTTAAAAGTTTACTTTTTTTAATGATTTATTTGTGTATATTCTTACAAATTCATACTTTTGAATATTTTTATATTACACAAGTATATTTGAAATAATGATGAGAGATATAATATGTGTAGTTATTTCTAATTATTATTATTATTCGAGATTAAAATGAGACAACATGTTATGTTGTATGTTAATATGGCATTATTATTTATTTTAATTTTCTATTTTAAGATTTTTTTTCCTTTTTTTTTGAATTTGTCGTTGGAAAAGATGGAGAGAGAAACACAAAAAAAATTTATAAAAAAAAAAAAAAGGAAAAAGAAAAAGAAAAAAAGACATTCCTCAAGTGAACATCATTGAAGCCCATAATCAAAATGCCAACCCCACATGGTGGGAGATCAAAAAAGGGATTTTCAGATTTAATCTTTATATATATATATATATATATATGAATTTTTCGAGGGTTACCAATATCTTTGTTGATATGAGATTTCCGTTAGAGGGAAAATTGACGTTCTTAGATAGTTTTTACCTAGTAGACAATGAGTGTTTTGCCGATATGTTCCATACATTCTCAACCGAGCTTCATGTTAAGTCGAGAGCAATCTTGACATACTTCACGCTTAGCCTTAGACACATGTCCTTCAACGTTTGATTGGGTGGCAAGCGTAGTTTTACCTATAACAATTTAAATCCTTTC